TAATACCCCGCGAACCTCAGAGGAGCTGCTTTAAGGGCGCAACTGCAACCCCTCACGTGAAATGTAGAATAACATCCGGATATGGCACCAGGCCCCACTTCTACCACACTCCAGTAAAAATAAACCTTGCTGTCCAAATATAGAGTGGTTAGAAGTGCCATGTTTTACAGGAGAAGAGGCAGTTATTTGGCATTAAAAATAGATGAGTTTTGGCTTCCCTGCAGATCTAGGCAAGAGCACTGCAATTTCCAAATGGAAACCAAGATGGATGGGGTGAGACCCACTCTGACTGACTCAGCCGTTTAAAAAGTCCCAAGAGAAAACTGCATCCCCTTTCTGGGCCTCAGTTTTCTCCTCCTTAAAATGAGGAGGTTAGACAAGACAACTGACATCACTTCAAGTGCCCACTTTCTACCAGGCTAGGAAGCAGAGTCCAAGGCTGGTCCTCAGAGAGTCAACACCTTCCCAGGTCATGGGGGCGCCCAGCACAGGCTGAGTGAGTTGGCCCTTTGGTTCACAGCTTACTGCTGTGAGTGGTTTTTCCCAAGGATTTTTAGAACTCTGTCAAGCGCTTTAATCTACCCCTTTGAGTCAGACACATTGTTAATCCTCAAAGACAAGCCAGGAAGTCCTCCTACAACTAGCCTACCTTGTGAGATGCTACCTTGATAAAAAGAAAGCGAGGCCTAGGATGACAGGGGTGGGGAGTCGTGCGGAGGGGCCACCAGGGCACTTCTGGTCACTAAGGCTGCCATTGCCAATGGCTGGCGCCAGGGCAGACCCTTTGTCCACACCCCCTTTAATCCTGCAGGGCAGGCATGCCGTAATTTACACACAGAATAACTGAAGGCTCAGAAAGGTTATTTGACTTGCCTATGGTCATTCACCTGGTGGAGGCTGGAACTGAATCCAAATCCAGGTCTGGATCCAAAGTTTGTGTTTTTCCACTTCATGGGGCCTCTGCTGTGCTTCTTGTGTGATCAGAATGTCTCTTCACTACCCTAAGAAGGAAAGGAAGTCCTGACAAAAGCTGGGGTCCCGGGCGGGGGTGGGGTGGTGGGGGTGGGGTGTCACTCATGAGGGCAGCAAGAAGCGAGTTGGGAGAAGCAAGTTGGGAATCTCTAATCCGTTAACAGACCACCTTGCATTTTGACTACACCTTGGAAAAGACCAGCTTTGCTTTAAATGGTTTTATTAAAAACTGTACCAATTGATGGGGATAAAGATATACACACATATATGCATGTGAAGAACACAAAGCCAAATATCCTGTACAGGTTTAGAAACAATGAGTTCCCATCCCCTCCCTCTCTTCTGTTGTCTCTCTCCCAGAGGCAGAGCGCAGCAAATCCAGGACAGCTAACTTGGGAGGGACAAAATGCTACATTATCACTAGGTCTCCCCCCACAGACCTTGTGGACCCAGGGATGGAGCAACCTGCTGGGCGATGCTCACAAAGCAGGGAGAGGCGCTGGTCTGCTGAGCAGAGAGAAGGGCAGCGCAGACTAGGAGCCTGCAGCCTTCAGCACCTTCAGCCCGAGAGGCTGACGCATCTGCGAAGTGCATGGCTTGCTCTGCTGTTCCCTCAAGGCTCAAAGTGCCCACCAGCCTTGGACACCCACTGCTCAGTGTCCCCAGGAGGCTTCACAGGCTAATGAGTTAAGGAGTCAGCCTGAGTGGTCTCTCACCAAGGTGTCCCCACCCACACACAGAGGGACCCTGCAGCACCAATGTGCAGAAGCCCCCACAGAACCAATGTGCCTGCTTCTGCTATCCCTCACTTGCCCCACCTCACTTCATCAGAACTCTCTGCGTGCTAACCAGGACAATCACAGTGGCTCCCCAGCCCCCAAGTAGAGGAGGCCCTGGCTGGACCATGTCCCTCCTTGCCATGTCCAACCCATCCTTGGATGAGGCTGGGCTACTGGGGACAGAGAGACAAGTCAGCTGGGCCCCTCTGAGCATTCAGGACATGCCTGTCACATAAGCCCCCTGCCCTGGGAGCTTGAGGAAGGTGATCCTTGGACTAAGCAAGAAAAGGCCCCAGGGCAGCCTTCCACCAGCCCAGCCTTTGAAGCAGGCTAACATAGAGGCCCAGCTGAGTCCAGGAACTGTCTGAGTGAGTCAGACAGCTGGCCTGAGGGGGGTCCCTCCCTAGTTCTACCACCTTCCAGAAGCCCCTACTCTGGGGTTCTTAATGAGGAGAGTTGTTTTGACCCTGAACATCAGGCTTCCCTTCCCTCCATAGGGCAATTCCTACCAGGGAAGAGTTTCCAGTCCCTCTCCCGAACCCCACCCTCAGCAAACCACAAAAGCTCCACAAGTCAGTTACAGGTCAGGAGCCAGGTCAGACTCTCCCTCCCTCTAACCGATTCTCCACCCCTTAACTGGAGACAGCCAAGCTCCTGGGGGTGGGGGCTGGGGAGAGGGAGCCCAGGGGGAGGGACGGGTCTCCTGAGGTTGAACTTGAGGAATGTTCAGACCAAGTCACCAAGCAGAGGGGGAAGAGGCCAGTCTAGATCACTACACCAATTAAAAACAGCCAGCCAGGAGGAACCTCTTCCTCCTGGGACTATTCTACCTGCTGGGTTCTGGCGGGAAGGGAAGGAGGGGTGTTTCACATTTGGTTCTGGCTTGCTTAGGATAGTGAATTAGTTCCTGGCTTCATGGAATATGGAGACAATGCAGTCAGACCACCCTCTCTACCCAGCCCCAGGTGCAATGTTCAACTGAGCTTCTCAGACTGTGGGCTCAGTTCTCAGGACAGGCCACTGGACATCCTGCTCAGCCCAGCAAGGTCTCTTGAGGCCAATGGCACTGCCTAGGCACCAAGGCCTGGACCATTTATTTGCGCTCTCACGCAGCTCACATGGCAAGTCTGCTAAGAGGAGGTAAAAGTGGCTGATAAAAAGAATCCTGTTTTCTTATGTGTGCCACTCAAGGTATACCGGCACCCTGCCAGTCACAGCCTTGGTCCAGGAGAGGGAAAAATAACACATGTCCCCTGCACATCAGAAAAATGGTGTGAAGACCCACAGAGAAGGCTGGATTTCACAATGGTCAGCCTATCCCAGCACCAGTCTCCATGCCTGTTCCCTGGGTTCCTTCTCTTTAAGAAGGAACCTATCTTCTTAGCAGACAAACCATGGTACACACCCTGAGAATACAATTCTGGCCAAGAATAGGTAGGTAATACCTCTAGAATATCCAAGCAGAACAAAACCAAGGCTGATGCACAGATTGAAGTCCTTCTTCAAGCCACTGTGAGCTCACAGGGCACCTTTGTGCAAATTAGGAAAGGCACCCTTCTTGTAAGTGGACACAGCCCGACACTAGGGCATACAACTTAGTGAGCAGAGCATGGGCTAGATTCTAGCTTCCATCACCTTCCTCTGCCGGTGCCCTTGTGCAGTGAACAACCTGCCTGACCGTACATCCAGATCAGTGTGTCCTTCAATGGTAACGAAGACCTCCTCTCTGCACAATCAGAGGAGCTGGGACTTGTTCAGATATGAGAGTCTGCTCTGGACTCCTCCAGTTTCCTTGGGTAGCCCTGGGGCCTTCTCTGCCCAGGGAAGCCATCTTTTCTTCGGGCCTTGCTTCACCGTTAGCACCAATGTTAACTTTGCTCACATATGAAAAAATGATAATTTAATTTCTAGGTGTCCAGTTAACAGATTCCCTGCATCTTTTCAGATTCCCTGTGTCTGCTCTCAGATCTGCCAGGCAGGCTGCTTTAAATTCTCTCCATTAGTGCCACAGCAGGGAGAGAAAAGGAGTTCAGAGGCAGTGGTGATCCTGCTGAGTTCCAGAGCTTGCCTTTCTGGCCTGGCTGGAAGCTGAAGGAAGACGGGAAATGTGCACCCAGCTTTGACAGTTCCTCACTCTGATCATGCTCTAAAAGACAGGTTTCAGCTGACAAAGCCACTATGCTGGCTTCTTCCTGGATCCCACTAGGTGTGAGAAAGGAATGGGGATAAAAGGGAGGAGGTAACTGGTTTCCAAGGAAACCAAGGGGTCTGGGTTCCTCTAGGGCTTACTCTTATGGGTGGGATGGCCGCCTGGTTTCCCAGCACCTCCACAGTCCGGTCCTGTCTCTTCCGGCCCTAGAGTGCTGCTGTTGGGGGTGGGACGCAGTCTGTTGGCTGGCTCTTTCAAAAGAAGACCTGACAAAGGCACCAGCTGCTGGCTACAGCACATTGACTGGCTATTTGGCTCCTCCATGGTTGACACCCAGCCAGTCCCGGGCAGCCAGAGTGGGCAGTGGTTCTGCACCTCAGGACCAATCCTGGGCTTCCAAGTGGGACCAAGGCAGACGTGAGGCCTACCCAGAAGTTTGGTTCATTTTTGCGGCACTTTTTGAGGGTCCATGGAGAAACCCAACCCTCCCTGAGGTCTGCTGGAGATGACAGGGGCTGGGCAAGAATCCCTGAGCCCTTGGGGCGGGCGATGCCTGGGCCCAATGAGAGCCCAGACATGGAGCTGGCTGACCGACCTAGTGAAGTTGCCATGCACAGGTGGAAAGCCCCTGGCTGAGGCCCTGGAGTGGTGGGGGCGGTTAAAGCAGTGTGACCCGTCGGATAGGGGCTCCATTCACGGTGGAAGGCTGACAGGTTTGGTGGAACCACAAGGCTAATCCAGGCTCCTATCTCTTAAGTTCCTGTGGGAAAACTATAGTCCACTCGTGGGAGATCACTACCTGGTCATCTTCAACAACTGATGACAGAAGGATCTACTTGTCCAAGACAGAAGGATCTACTTGTCCAAGCCCTTAGGAGGTTCCACGTCACAGACACACCAGCCTCTATTTCAACAGTGTTTGATGAAGGCCCCCACTCCTGGTTGAGGCCCTGAACAGGGAAAGAGGTCCTGCTTGGGTATGTCTTATGTACACAGAGAAATTTTAAAAATAAAAATGCAAAACAACAACTTCACAAGACGCAGTATCAGTCCTCGCCGATGTCCTTCCATGGTGCCCATGCGAAGGGGGCAGCCCAGCCTCACCTGGGACCTGCCCCGTTCCTGTTCTCATCTCCATTCAAAGCAATGTTGTGTAGGAAGAGGAGGATCTGCCACCACACGCGATTTCGGTTCTGCTGGTGCTAAAAGAAAAAAAACAGACGATGTAACTCCTAAACGCGACCTTAGATGACAGCTTATCATTTCCAGTGCAGAAGTTCAGATCCACACGTCCCAGAGCAGCACTTTAATCCCATCAGGACAACAAACTCAGGGACATAGGGGATTTGGGGGAGTGATGAGAGAAGCGGCGATGAGGGGGAGATAGCAGAGTTCTCCATATACAATTGCAGTGTGAACGTTAAAAAGAAAAGACCAGGCTCTTTATGCACTGTGCACAAGAGGATTAAACTTTTTCCCCTGCTTGCAGGATTTTCCAGAGTTTAGCCAAGTGCTGCTTTTAATCAGATTGGCTCCTGAGCTCCTCAAACCTCAGCTGCACGAACAACAAACTTTCTTCAGAAAGAAAGAGAAGAAGTGCCCCCCTCTCTCCCCCAACTCCAAAGTAACACAGAGAACAAGGGGGAAAGGGGGGGAGCCTCCATCTGCAAGTGATTTGACACTGTGAAGGTCAAAGGGTTAATCTTCCATTTAAACCACACTGCTGAGGCAGCAAAAATCTGATTTCATCCAGTGCAAACACGCACACACACAGACACACACAGACACACAGACACACACACACACACTTGGGCGCCTGCCCTTTCTCCCTTCCCAGCATCTTCAGCTCCGCGCTGCCCTTTTTATAGCTGCTCTTGACAGTAAGCCATAAATAATCCCTCTTGGAGCGCTTTCCTACTGACTGGAGCCAATTAAACGTTAAGCAAGAACATACTTGAAAACAAAACAAAAACAAAGAATGCACACTACTCTCTGGAGGTTATCCCAGGTCCTACTGTCAGGCAGGGAAGCTTGGGGCAAAGGTCAGGGGTCAGTGACTCACAGGATTGTGGCTGGTGCCCCACCCACACAGGTACTGGCAGAGGCCTGGAGGGGACTGAGGGGTGCTGGGAGAGGCGGTCTTTGTTCTCTCTTTATCTGCCAGGGCAAGAGGACGAGGCTGGGGCCCTCTCCACGGGGTTCTCAGTGGACAGGGGAATAAAAACCTAGTGTGCAAAAAGGGAGCCAGCACAGAGGCTGGACTTGGACTGCTGCAGCAGCCTGGGCAGCAATCACGTTTATGTGAGGTGTGCGTGTGTAGGGGGAGCTGGAGCCCCTGCAGTCTTTAACCACAGCCCCGGCCCCCACCAGGCAACTCCCAGTCAGCTGAGAAGAGGCTAGAGTAAGTCAGTGGCAGAGTTGGAAAGTAAGTCCCCAGAGCTCCTGGATTCCCAGAGCTTCCCAGGGACGTCAGGCCCTGACCCCCCTGACCTGTCCCCAGGCAACTGGGCAGGTTGCTGGGTTCCCTGTCACCCTGCCTGAGGCCACAGAGAGAGAGGAGAGGTGAGATGTCAACTGAGGCTGACCTCAGGGCCCTGTCACGTATCCATATCCCCCCAACAGCCACACCCCCCATCTGTAGCAACAGCACTGCTCTTTTCCCTGCAAAAGGGGAGACTGGAAAACCCAGAAAGTTGGAGGCACAGCTCCTGCTAGGAAGGGGAGGGAAGGCAGGGTGTGCCACAGAGGAGGCCTGGCAGACTGCAGAGACTGATGGCTTCCTTGTGTTTTGTAAACAAAGACGAGTAAAAAGAGGAAACACACCAGGCTTAACAAAATCTGGTTAGAGTAAAGCAGCATGAAAACGGACTCAGCTGCAAACCTGAAGACTCAGGCCTGCATGCAGCAGCTGGACAGAGCACCCCCTCCTCCTGTCTCCCCTCCCCAGTTGCTACCCAGGACAGGTGCAAAGGTCATGGGTGGAATAGGAGGAAAATCCAGGAAAAGACTGGTCTCTAGGGAGGCCAGTCTGCTGGAATTTAGAGGCTCCTCAGGTGCCTCTTTGAAAAGGCCAAGTAACAATAACAACCACGATCCAAACAGTCACTGTAAACTGAGTATGTCAGGTTCTGGTTTATGTCCTTGGTTCTCAAAGTGTGGTCCACGGACCAGCAGCTTCAGCATCAGCTGGGAGCTTATAAGAAACGTAGATGTACTGAATCAGAATGCATTTTTTCCAAAGATTTTTTTTTTTTTATATGGGCCATTTTTAAAGTCTTTATTGAATCTGTTACAAGATCCCCAGGTGACTTTAAGACACATTAGAGTATTAGAAGAAGGGCTCTACACTCATTAAGCTCCTTTGATCCTCTCAACGACCCTATGACACATGTATATACTATCATGCCCATTTTACAGATGAGATCATTTAGAGAGTTAGGCAACTGGCTACATAGATAGTAAGTAGCAGGGACTGGGTTAAATCCAGACCACCTGGCCCTAGAGCAACGTCCTTACTCATTACCACTGTGCTCCAAGTGCTACCACATACCTTTATACCAGAGCAGGCCCTCCATCTTCCTGTTCTCTAAATCGTCTCAAAACAGCTCAAGGGCCAAGGAAAGGAGATCACAGCTCTATGATTTGGGGCCTGAACCAATGCCATCTCCGTAGGCCTCAATCTCTCCCCATTCCCCTCATGGAAGCCACTTACTGCTCTGGGTAACTTCCTGGGCCATGGTCTCTGCAGATAAGGCAAGAAAGAATCCTCACTCTAATCATGGCAGGTTCTAGGGACCCAGAAGACAGTGATATTAGACTGGAAGGTGGAGACATTGCTGGGAGACACAGACTGGCCGAGGTCCACAAGGGACCAGCCTTAGGAAGGACCTAGGTTCTGTGCCTCTGCCTGGGACAGGCCTCAGGGCTCCTGAATCAGGAAGGAGGCACTCTAGACAGTGGGTGGCTCCTGGGGGCCTGGAATCAGAGGACCTGGTCTGCTGAGTTCTCTCACCAGCCAGCCTGAGTCTTCCCTCTCCTCATAGGTGAAGTGCAGGTATGGTATTAGCGGTTCCCATACCTGCTATGTCACAGAATCCACTGAGGTGCTATTGTAAATACAGAGTTCTCAAGTCTCACCCAGAACAACTGGGGCAGAATCTTCAGGGAAGGGCCCAAGAATTTGTATATTGAAATGCTTCCCTGAGTGACATTTTTAAAAATCAGAAGTAACATCTCGTCTATTTTAGTCATAAAAATAATATAACTCTAGAAAAATTAGAATACAAGAAATTAGAAAGGAGAAAATAAAATCACTCATGATCCTATAGCCTAGAAGAAAACATTTCATGATTTGGTATTTTCTTTAGTCTCTTTCAATCTCCTCCCACCAGAGTAATGACTTGGCGAAGCTGGAGGTTAATCCTGCCCAGGTGCTTCTAAGGCAGCCAGGCCACACAGGCATTTGGAAACCACTGAGGTGATTTCCAACTGTAAAGCTTGGTGATTCGGAGTTTGTCACCCACAATCACCTTCAGGATTATAACTCAGAGCTCCAACAACTAAGTCCAGCCTGGTGGAGGGTCTGGGTGGGCTTGGAGAACGAGCTGCCTAGTACAGGGTCAAGCAGGCTGCCCAGGCAGCAAGACCAGGGCCTGGGAAACCATCTATTGTCCCAGCAACCCTTTCTGCGAGCATGGGCAATGCCACACATACCCCGTCGAGCCTTCTCCTGCCACAGGGCAAGCCCCAGAAGGCCCTTTTCTGAAAGGACATCAAATTGCCACATAGTAAGAGAACCAAAGAATGCCCTGATTATGAAGAACAAGGATAAATAAAATGTTTTTTAAAAATTTTAAAAAAGGTCATGACTAGAAAGGAAAGAAAAAGGACTTGAAGGGAGGCCAGGGAGAGAAAGAGTAAGAAGAAAGGCCATCAACATTCACTGAACAGGATGAGGTCCACAAAGACACTGGAACACCAGAGCGGGATCCTTCCAGGAGAGGGTGTGGGGGAGAAAGGGAGAAGGAAAGGGAGCCAGGAAAGAGTGCGCTTGGCCTCTGACTCTCAGGCACCTGGCACATCACCTGAGATCAGTGAGTGCTAACCACCTGGCACAAGGCTCAGCTCTCCCAAGCTGCTTGGGACCCCTCAAGTTTGGGCATCTACAAAGAATGGCGGTTCCCAGAATGCATAGCCAGGGTGTCCTCAGGGGTAGAAGACTGGGGCTCAGAAGATGGGAAGCTGATGGGAATATAAGTGTACACCAGAGCTTTCAAATTTGGTCTAGAAGGTAGGACCAAGGCGCAGAAAGCAAGAATCGAGGTGAATGCCCCAAAGGAAGGGGTCCTCACATGGTGGATAAAAATGCTCTCTTCAGTTAAGAGAGCATGACCAGGATGAGAGACCTGGGGTTCTCCTTTCAGCCCCATTTTCCTTCTGTGGTCAGCGGATGAAGGCAGTCAGCTGACAAGTGTTGGCGTCATCCCCACTGTGCGCAAGGCACTGTGACTGAATACCCGGTCATTCATCCTGGAAGACGGGGAACATGCAGGGCACACAGTAGGTATACAACAAGCACGCTGCACTGACTATAGAAAAGTCAGCATTCCAGGATAACCTGCTTGTCTGAAGCCAGGAACAACTGATGTCTGGCCAGGTCTGAAGATGTACTTGAAGTGATAGGATCAGCCTCTTGCCTAGAGAGAGGCCCAACTATTAAAGGCTTTTTTATTTTTTTTAAGAGCTGGCTGCAGTGTCTGACAAGGTTGTATTACACATATCAAACTCTGTTTCATCCCACATGGCCCCTGCTCTAAGCACAAAGAGTGTTCCCTGCCCTCCCCTGGTAAGAATCTCCCTCCATCTCTCCCCTCTTCGTATCCAATTCACACCCGCTGGGGACTCTGTGTGTCACTGGTGTACCAGATGCTCCAGCAAGAGCTAATTCACCCCAAAGAATTCGGGCAAGGAGCAAAGCTACACTGTAGCTCTGATTTCAAAGAACCAAACACGCAAAATGCAAATTGACCAAACAGATCAGTTTATAACAGTCTCCTACCTAGAATGCTTTCTTATCATCTCTTTTGCTCTTCACAAAAATCTGGGCCATAGGAAGGGCAGGTATTATTTTCAATCCCATTTTACAGATGGGGAAGTAGAGGCTCAGAAAAGTTACCCCTAATGTTAGTTGGGAGGGGGTGAT